GAGCGGCTACAGCACGGGCCTGCCCCTCCTGGGCACCATCACCACCCCTAATACCAGTTTCCTGCTGCCCACTCCAGCCTGATGGGGGACTGCTTTGCTGGCCAGAGCCCAGCACACAGCCCCGCCTGCAGGCCTAGACACTGCCCCTTCTTCCTGCAGGTCCCTGGCCTGGCTCCAGCTCTGAGCAAGGCTCCAGCCTGAGGACACATGGGGACTTGGGAGCCACTGCCAGGCTTGCCAGCAGGAGCCACAGGCCGGGCACCCATGGCACGTAGCCCAGAGCATGCACCTTGCACCTCAGCACTCTTGATTCGAGTGTCTCCACCAGACCACTAGGCCTGACCCCGACCCACACAGGGAGCCAGGCTCGGCTGCAGGCCTCAAGGAGGCCGGTGGCAGTCCTTGGACAGAAGGGTACAAGCACTCATCAGAGGGAGAACCAGGGAGAGAGGGGACGCCTGGGCCAGCAGGGCATGGTCACACCGCAACCCTCTCTCCTCCCCTTCTCCATCCAGTGGGGATTCGAGGCCTGTACACATGTGCACATGCACTCATACATGCAGTGCTTCCTTCAAGCTGCTAGGGCCGAGATTTGAACTACTAGAGTGGCCACAGGAGCAGCCCAGACCTGAGCTTTAATCCCATCATGTTAAGTTTTAATGCTATTAAGTCCCCAAGTTCGCAAACACAAAATTAACTTTTATTTTAAGTACTGTCTTACCCCTTTAGGATAAAAGTGAAAATTTTATAAAGACGTCTCAAATCACAGAAATGGTGGGAGTTCTGTGGAACCATTAGGAGGCTGCACACTCCCACAGGGACCTGTCCAGGCAGGAGGGGACCCTGAGGAGGACCGCCCTGTGGGGGAGTTGTGCACCCCGAGAAGGACGGCCCTGTGGGGGGAGGTCACGCACCCCGAGGAGGACCACCCTGTGGGGGAGATCATACACCCCGAGGAGGACCGCCACACAGACTGACGGCAACGTGTGAGATTCCAGCGAACGTGACAGAGGGTTGGTAACTGTCCTTGTCACGCATTAGGAAGGTTTTCTCAATTAAAGTCATTTAAGGCTGGAAAGGTTTGGGATGGCTGTGATCTCCAAACACCTGCATCACCTAGCTCAGGGCATACTCTCTCAGAAACTCTGGCCCTTGGGACCGGCAGTTAGTGTAATGGCTGTCACTGAACTCCCATGTAGACGACCATGGTTCGAGGCCCGGACCCGGTGGCTTAAACTCACTCTGTGCTGGTGTACGTGCGTGCCCAAGATCCTGAGAGGGGAAAGGAGAAGGGATTGCGGCGTGGCCATCCCCCCTGGGGGTGATTTCTCTCCCTTTCCTTCTCTTACCCCGATTGGCCACGCCTTACTCTCTTGTGAGGATGCATAATCTCTGCCATCAATCCCAGCACGGCCCTCGGGGGCCAGGGCGTACACCGAGTGGGCAGTTGGACCCGCTGCAGGCACATGGCTCACTCTCGGCCGGGGCTAACCAGTCCCAGCTGGCCAGGTCCAACCCAACTGCTCAAGCTTCCTGAGATCAAGACCCACCCAGGTTAGGGGCAACACTGGGAAGCAAAGAAAAGCTGCTGAGAAAGGCTGGCATACGGTACAGAGGTTAAGGAGCTGGACTCCCATGTGGCTGACTGTGGTTCAAGTCCTGGACCCAGCAGCTTGAAAACCAAGCATACGTGCCGAAAATCCGAAGAGGAGAATGAAAAGGGGTTGTGGACATGGCCAACCCTTGGGGGCTGACTTCTTGCTCTCCCTCCCTCTGTCTCTCTTTCCGTGAGCACGCATGCCCTATGGAAACAAAAGCTGACAGCTAAGACAGGGAGCTGACCGCGGCGGTTGTGGACCCAAGGGGGGCAGAGGAGAATGACATGCTTCCCGAGACCAAGCTGAGTGAGCGCCACATTACACAGGAAGGGCCCGTCTGCCCTCAGTCTGCAAGCACCCTACGCTCACACACGGGAGCAGGCCGTCCCCGGGACACTTACCGACTTGTTGTCGTCAAAAGCTCGCTCTTCTATCTCCTCCTCCAGCCGGTCGGCAGCCTTTCTTACATCCTCGAGGATCTCGTCGAGCATGGACCAGCTTTTATTTTGATGCTGCATATTTTTCAGAGCTTCAGCTTGATGCTTTTCTGCTGCCAAGAGCTCCACATACTCAGTCTCTTCCTGTTCGTTCGCAGGAAACACAGAGTGAGACTTGCTAAGAACCGCACCAGGACACGACTGTCCTGGGGCCCTGCAGGGGCCTGCTGCCAGCTGAGCACGCCTGCTCGCCGATGTGCGACTCTCACCCGAGTCAGCGAGGGGAGGCTGGGGGTCACCAGGCTTAGCAAAGGCAGTTTGGGAAAGCTAGTACCATGCGCGCCCCCGGGGACAGATCTGCCATTTCTTTCTTTTTTTTTTCGTTTTCTTTTGTGGGGAGAGGTTTTTGCTATAGGGCGCGTGTGTTCGCCAGAAATAGAGAGACAGAGAGACAGAAAATGAGAAATCACCCCCCAGGGGGGATGGCCACACCACAATCCCTTCTCCTCCATTCTCCTCTCGGGATCTTGGGCACGCACGCACACGCGCCCA